ATACCTCTTTAATTCAGTAACACCAAGACAGATAACACTAAGGAGTTTACAATCTACTGGAAAAGAAGCAAAGTTTGTAATTATGTTACTTAAGTCTGAATTCCTTCATGGATCCTAAGGAAACTAATTTTATATCTGAATAAATAAAGAAAATTTTCATCTACATGAATTTTTTATTCTTTTTTCTGAAGAAATGCCCTTATCCCTTTTCCAGACACCCCATTCTATTATAGCTTCTTCAGGATTTCCTTGTCACTACTCATCTCTAGCAATGAAGTCTTTTTTGTCTCCTGCAGACTTTGTAACCGTATTTTAATTTCTTCATCTTAAGAACATTAAACCTATCTCTCTGCCATCCTGCTGTCCCATTTTTTTCTCTTTGGAAGTTTTGGTAATTGTGTACTCCAGTGAACCACCTTCTCCCCTTCAGTTTCCTCTCATTTGCCAGCCCAGAGCAGTCAGCCTTTCATGCACAGCATTACAGTCACCAAATTCAGGATCCTATCTTGTATAGGCATCATACCTGGCCTTTGTGACACATGGGGAAACTGATAATGTAATAATGTACAAACAAAGGAAGTAATGCTTATATAAAAAAATTCTGAGGATATGAAAGTGACACAGTTACCACCATCACAAAAAGATTCAGGAAAATTCTATAGGTCAAGAAGTCTTCTGGCTGGGAACCAGTGGCTCATGCCTATAATTCTAGCTAGTCAGGAGGCAGAGATCTGGAGGATCAAGGTTCAAAGCTAGCCGGGGCAAACACTTCAGGATACCTTATCTCGAAAAAATCCATTACAAAAAAGGGCTGGTAGAGTAGCTCAAGGTATAGGTCCTGAGTTCAAACTCCAGTATCTCAAAAAAAGAAAATATCCTTTGCCACCCTCTCTTTGGTAGACTCTTCTTTGGGTAGAAAACATTGAAAGGAGAGTAGCTTTGTAATTTCAGGCCTTCTGAGAAAGCAACTAAAGTCAGATATGAAGCCTGTCAGTAGCATTACATCACTGTAATAGCTATAGCTATCATTTGTCACTGAACTGTATGTGTTCTTCCTTAAACAACTTTTTTCTTCTGAAGTAAATAGCCTCTTTGCACTCTGTTTATTGTCTAAGTATTCTATATACTTATCACTAAATTTCCCCCTACCTCTCCAGTAGAACTCCTGCAAATATCTTGAATATCAGGTATTCCCTCAGCCTCTGCATATTGAAGTAGTGTTACTTCCATTCACCATTATTTGGAGAATGTCCATTGTCTCTCTCTTGTGTAAGTCAACTGTTTTTTAGATCTGTGTCTACTTCTTTTTGAAATTTTCTCTTTTAGTAGTGTTTAGAGTTGGTCACATAATGATCGATTCATTCCCTCCTTTTAGGTACTTGTTGAGTTTATCCTCTCCTGCTATAGAAAGGTTGGGCTTGATGATGAGACTTTTTCTGGCCAGTGAAATGTGGGCATATTTGTCATGTGCTACTTCTCAGGAAAACTAAAGGAAACCCAGGATGATTACAACCACTCTCTTTCTCTCCGTCTTGGTTTTTGACTGTGTTCTAGACACAAACTACATTGTCAGTTTGACTGCCAGACTGAGATGATGATGATATAAAGCAAAACACAGACAATGGAAACAGAAGCTTAGCTAGACCTTGAGATTTGGGGACTTTCATGATATAATATTGTCTCTCCTGTTTGATATACTTCCTCATTTTGGCCTAGCATAACATTTATAGATTCTTGAAAGAGGAAATGAGAGACTTTTATGCATGTCTGAAAAAGTTATGCTTCTATCTTCATATTTTATTGATGCTTTAGCAGCACAATGTATTCTGAGTATTTTCATCCTTATGATTTTGAAAGCATTGTTTTCTTCTCCCTTCCAGTTTTCCTATGGAGAAGTCTGCTGTCTGATTGGTGATTCTTTGTATAACCCTTATTGCTTCGTTTTCCCATTTTCTTAACCCAGATATTCTATAATTTAATGATTATATGCCTTACTGGTATTATTATGTTATAGTCATGTGTTCCTAAAATACCTATTCAATGGATACTAGCTTTTCCAATAAAGAACCTCCAATTTTCTTATCTTTTGTTTTCCATCTCTTGTCTTTTTAGTGCATGCCATTATCCTTGTGTTCTATTTTCTGCAATATATCTTCATCTTATTTTTCAAAACATTTTTATATATGCAGTATATTCATCTAAGTTATTTTAGTATGGTTGTTTCTGTTGCTTTAATGTCTAGTTTTCTAGGTTTCATCCCTTTCTCCCTACTCCCACCATCAGTATTGCTTTTAAGTAATGTTTTGATGTATGTCTTTCATATCAAGTTGACAACAGGATTCTAGATAATGTCCTTGAAAGTAGTATTTGTGGTTAAAGGGTCCTTTATCTTTCTGTTCTATGTGTGGATTGTTTTCTTCTGAATAATGCAATATATCCTACTTCTTTTTTTTTTTCTATCATAAAAATGTGAATACTTCCAAAATTCATTCAACTCATGCCTGTATTGGGAGGCTGAGATCAGGAGCATCTTGGTTTGAGGCCAGCCTGAGCACATAGTTTGTGAGACCTCCAAAACTAGCCAGAGCAAAATGGATTGGAGGTGTGGTTCAAGCAGTAGAGCACCTGCTTTACAAGTACAAACATCCTAAACTCAAACTCCAGTCCCATCAGAGAGAGAGAGAGAGAGAGAGACTTCTGAAGCATGAATTTCTTGAATGAAGTGTTGTGTTCATATAGTTTCATTGGCTTTCTTATCCTTGAAACACTATCATCCTTAGCTTAGCTCAGACTTATTTCTGTCTTTGCTGTGTTGATGTTTGTAAGTTAGCATCTTATGGGCTAAATGCAGATTACATATATTTTTAGTTTGATCTCAAGAGAGTTTTAAAAATACTTTACTCTGTTAATCTTTTAGACAAGGATTAATTTGGAGTACACTGGAATACCTGGACATATATTATGTAAAATGTCTTTGAAAATTGTATTAAGTCTAGAAATTTAAAAGGTATAATACAAGAAAACACTGTTTAAGAATTCTTTACATTATTACATACAGATATAAATATATGCAGAACATGTTTCCAAAAGTGGAACTGTTAGAGGAGACTAAAGGAGAAAGAATAATAGCGAGTGAATTATAATGAAATACATTATATCTATGGAGGAAAGGACCAAAGAAAACACACTGAAAACTGTTGAATAATTTGGATTGGGGGAAAAGGGGGAGGAAGAGCAGTGATAAGGTAGCCTGATCTAAGCACAATATATTTACAGGTGAAATACAAAGGCAAAATCTCCATTGAACAATGAACAGACACTTAAGCAATGAAGAATGGAAATGTAAAACAGGTCATATTAAGGAGAGACCACCAGTGGGAGGAGGAGGATAAATGAAGAGGGTAAAGTAGGATGAATATGGTTGATGTACTTTCTATATATGTAGGAATATGGAACACACTGAAACTTGTTGAAATTAATTAAGAAGGAGAATGGGTTAGCAGGTTAGATAATGAAGATGATGAACCAAACGAGGGTATAATATATGTATATATGGAAATATCACAATGAAACTCCCTGTATAACTATCATATGCTAATAAAAATGTTTTTTAAAAAAAGTCTTTAAGACTGCATTCTTCATAGTGTCATGGTTTGTCTTACATAGAATCAGTGTTTTTATTTAAGTTAATATCACAATAAATGTCAAATACTCCTGAGTAATTAACATATTTTGTGGAATTGAGATTTACAATAAATATAGTATGTACAATAGCAGTATATAAGAGGGTGGTAGGAAGTCATTTTTCTAAAATGTAGGGAGAGAAGCCCCCTATGATTGTTTTCAATAGAAACGACTTGAAATATTTAAAAAATTCTGTTAAGTGGAATAGCAGTCTTGTCTTTTGTATACATTTTAGTTAGAAGTTATGATAGTAAAACCTCATTACCTTTGGACTGTCACCAGACCACCATATCTTTTCCCAAGCTGTTGATTCTCTCTCCTTGGGAAATGTCGAATCATGACTTGTCCTTTTATAAATCTCCACACATTTCCTTAGAGTAGGGAATATTTACACACTCAAGTATATACTTTTGGAGACCATATTTATTCTCATCATGTGCTTACAGCCTTAAAAGGGAACGTAAAGGAGTAAAATGAAGGACTGACAGGAAGATTGTTTTGGGAAGCCAAATTCATGGGCAGGGCAGCTGACCTCTGTGTGGCCAGCACTTTATAAAGAAATCATATTTACCAACTATATTTTTCAAAGCAAAACATTGAAATTACTAGAATAAACCAGTACCCAAAAAAGATATTTAAATTATATTCTAAATATGCTATAGGGGGAGAGTGCTTTCCTAATCTAAAACTGCTATATATAATTATTATGTTCGTAATGATGGCCCTGACTCTGTGGGACTGCAGATTCACAGTGCACCAAAATTAGCAAATAGTGAATGCTTTGCATTTAGTAAGAGTTTTAATATTAAGTATTATTTTACAGTTTCAAAAGAATTTATTTGTAATGTTTTTTCCTTTGTAGGTTCAAATCATTTAAACTGCACATATAACTAGAGCATTTCATTTCCAAGTAATTCTGAATATTTAGATTGTATTCCTAATTTCTGTTTGACAGTTTCAATGAAAAATATCCATTACTATGGACAAATGTTTTCTATCCTAAATATTTCTATTCCTTATATAGTTACATTAGATCTTTATAGGAAGGAAACTTTGTGCTGAGAGCCCTTAAACCTATGATCTCAATCTGTATCAAACTCAAATTTTCTGGGAACCTAAAAGGGCCTTCTACACTAACTGATATAGGGCCACATTTAAAATATTAATTTCTTACAAAATAACATTTGTTTTAAATCTTGTAAAGACTTTTAGAAACAAAATAACATGGAAGTTGTTAACACCATCAACATGATCCTTAAATCAGATCTTACTCTCATATTCAGTTTTCTTACATTTGCTTTGGTTTCTCCTTCTAGGAATGGCAAAATTCTATTCAGAAGAATGCAGGACTTGCATTTATTGAACTCATCAATGAAGGAAGGTAATTAATTTTACAATTTTTGGAGACTAGTCAGTGTATGTTTTATTCTACTGGGCAATTGCTCTTTCCGACCATCTGTTCTAAAAATGCGCAAGTAGATGTCTTTTGGTTAAATAATGTGTCACATGAGGTACTTAATCCTTAAATCAACAAAAGTTAAAATAGTACATGTATTTAATGTTAGAGGAAAAAAGCTTATATGAAATAAAGGCCTGAACTTTATAAGGATTTTGTGAGATGTGAACCACATCTTACTGAGTAGTAAAGTTGTTTTACACAGATCAAGTGAACCCGATCTGCAGTCCCATCTGCCACCCCATCTGTTTTCAGGGCTAAGCTCAGCTTTTACCCCTCAGCTTCTCCTCAGTTCACATGAAGTGATTTTTATCTAAGTATGTCACGCTCAGTCTCCCACTGAAAATGGGAGGGATGTTAACTACAAAAAGCAAAATGATCTTGGTTAGGAATTTTTATGTGCCATTGTTAATGATGCTATAAATAAAATTATGTTTGAAACCATTGTTGGATTTATCGCTTTGTGATAAGTAGTTATTAATTATGATTTTTGCAATGCTTTATGAGTAGTAGATACATTCAGATGTTGCTGTCTCCCTTTATACCTACAGCTTCTATCATACTTTATAATTTGAATTTCCTGAATGATAATAGTGTATTCCATGGAAAATAATTACTGAGATTTTACTGTAAGCTTTTCATTTCTTTTCGGAACTTGATTTAATTAGACTGATAAATAATGCTTATTGTATACAAAACTTCAGTGGTGTATCCTGAAAAAAATATTCCTTGAAAAATAATTTATATGTGGCATAGAAACTCAATTTTTTAAAAAAGTTAACTTCAATGTCACTTAGTATTGTTCTGTTTTCTCCCACCATTGTACTATATTCTGAGAAATAACCTCTGCTTATATAGCAACTCATCTTATTGTATATTCCTCATTTTGATACCCTGTGACCTATTCTTTTAATCATAATAATACAAGTCTGAAATTTAAAATAAGTTTTGCACTTACTATAATGTAAAAAAATGCATGAAAAACTTATAAAACATAAATAGTATTTTATGCAGTAGCATTCACTTCTTACAAAATCTCATTGTGATAAGAAATTGGAAATAATTATTACCTATTTTCAGAATTTGAGAAAATGGGGAAAAATTCCAAAGGTAATCACTGTCAATTTTAAAAGTAGTTCTTAATTCACATATATGCTAATTTTGTTGTTTATTTCACCTGTGAGTGAAAGAAAAAAAATTATCTTACCATTAGTAGCTCTTCTAAGAGTTAAGAGAATTGAACCACTAGCACATATAATAGTTATTTACATTTGTTGCCCTCAATGCAGAGAAACTAAAGCAGATACTTTAAAGCAACTGAGGCCGATAGGAGAAGGGTACCAGGAACTAGAGAAAAGGTTAGTTCGAGAAGAATTAATTTAGAAGGTAACACACACATGTACAGGAAAGCAATGCAAGTCAACTCCCTGTATAGCTATCCTTATCTCAACTATAAAAACCCTTGGTTCTTCCTATTATTGCTTATACTCTGTCTTCAACAAAATCAGAGATAAGGGCAAAATAGTTTCTGCCTGGTAGCAAGGGGGTTGGGGGGAGGAGGGAGGGGAAGGGGTGGGGGAGGGTGGAGAAATGACCCAAACATTGTATGCACATATGAATAAAAGAGAAAAAAAAAAAAGAAAAGAATGGTGGGAAAAATTTGTTAATACCAGAGGCTTTATGCTTTTGATACAGTTTTGTTGTTTAGTGGTAGAGTTTGGGGTTTGTTTCATATTAGGAAAGAAGTTGGAAATAGAGAAAGTAGTTATAATTTATTTAAAAAAATTAACTAGGAGGTGTGGCTCAAGCAATAGAGTGCCTCCTTTGCAAGCACAAAGCCTTGAGTTCAGACCCCAGTCCCACCAAAAAAATAAAAATAAATCAGAAACTCTCACCATATGTTCTTAATATCACCCTAAATCGTGTTTAGGGTGGCACTGTTGTGTTTGCTTTTGTTTAACTTGGTAAAAAAAGACTTATAGACAGGTGTGAAAAATAATAAATAAATCCTCTTTTGTGAACTAGAGCTCACTGTTATGTGTTCTACTCACTGTATGAGTTTTGATACATATAAGATGCAATATTATTATACCTAAGATGGTTTAAAGTGATGGTGGTATGGATTACCATAAAGGTAGATGACCAGGACTAAAGAATTAATCATTAAAAAGCATAGACTGCCAGCAAAACCTTAGCTGCTGAGTTAGTTTTAAATTTTTCATGTTGACATGTATATCAAATGACGCTTTTTTTTAACAATTAAATTTTGAGTAATTTTTACTTGGGTCGTAATCACTAATGTACATACAATTAGTTTACTGAAATATAGTTTATAATATCTTAAACATTAAACATTGTAAATCTCTACCAATAGTGCATCCAATTAAATGAACAGGGATACATGAATTACCATAACTAACTACATAGCCATCAAATGGCCTTTCAAAAAAGGGCTTTCATCTTGAGAGTGTAGTGTCTGGAAATAAAGGAACTGGAATATTCCACAGATCTTTAGTACTGTTAATGAGTGCAATAACTTAGGAATAAATATGATTTTAACTCATTTCATGCTTAGAGAGAATGTCAGAAATTGAGAACCAGACAGATTCCTCTGCTCTAAAAATGACCCTTGAAGAAATTAGATTCCAAATATCCTGGGTGGTAATTTTTGAAATGGTCATCAGCATGACCTTAATTCAAGGGGAGATTTAAAAAAAAGAAAGAAGCCCAAATAAAGAACTGCATCTAGGATCTCTTGAAGATAAATCATGCCTGAAGCTTTAGAGGAAGTAAAGTGACCTTGATGAGCAGTGGAAAGGTTCACAGCATGTGAAATTCCTTCAATAAAAATGTTTTGACTTGAAGTGAATACATTTGTGTTTCCACTCCCATACTAACGTTCTTCCCCCAAAAAAGATGATTTGGAAATAAAAATTCAAACGTCAATAGCTACAAATTTAGCAGAACAAATGAGGGATGCATGATGTCTACGTGTTTATATCTTTCTTAACCACTCAGATGTACTTTCCTTAAGAACTTGTGTCTTACACACCGTTTCATTTGTTACTATACCACTGAAGTCAGGATTAGCACCTAGTATATATTAGCAATGAGAAATACTCACAGAAGGAATGAAGAATAGAATGAAGAATGTTTGAGAAGGAAAGAATGGAGTGTTTTTTTAAGTTAGTATAGGATCACTAGGTTCAGTTAGACAAGATCATGGTGGTCCCATCTGCACTGTTGCATGCCTGTTGCTAATGATGCTGAATATAGACCCTACAGTGGAGCAACAGTATTATAATAAGTAGTTTCAGGTGTAACTATGGTGCTGTGGGAGCCCATAACTGACGAGGTGTCTTTAGAGAAAGTGGTTCACCTATAGTACTAGGGACAGAAGCTAGGTAGTTGTGAGTTTAGGAGTGAGTAAGAGATATAATCCAGGGAGCAGTGAGAGATGACATACAGATGGCAAGTATTTCTCCTACAAAGAAGTTTGCTGAAGTAAACCGTTTTAATCGGAGTGGGTATATTTTAGAAGGAAGGACTTGAGTGATATTAATTGCTGAAGGAAAGAAGTGTATGGTGAAAGGGAATAAAGACAATACTGAAAAAAATCAAGTCTCCTAGAAGGGACACTCAATCAAGGAGTGGTGTTTGGTGGCAGAACTCTGAGAGAGGATGCATGTAGTTAAATTGGTGACCAGACCTGCACACCCATGTTTATTGCAGCACTATATACAATAGCTAAGCTATGGAAACAGCCAAGATGCCCCACTACTGAGGAATGGCTTAAGAAAATGTGATATTTACACATAATGGAATTTTACTCAGCCACAAAGAAGAATGAAATTTTGTCATTTGCAGATAAATGGATGGAACTGGAGAACATCATCTTAAGTGGAGTTAGCCAGGCTGAGAAAGCCAAAAGCCACAGGTTTTCTTTCATATGTGGAATATAGACGTAATACAAATACAGCAATATCATGAAAAACTGATCACACTAAGGGAGGTCACATACGAGAAAGGTAGAATAAAAGAAGGAAACTAAGAAGATGAATATGGTTGATATACTGTCAATACATGAATGAATATAGAATTCTTAAACTGGCAAAAACCACCATAAGAAAGAGACTAAGGCACAATGAAGAAAAATAAAGGAGATGAAACAATTGGGGTTATAGCACATATATACATGTGTTATATATCTCAGGGAAACTCCCTGTGTAAGCTACCTTTATCTCAAACAAGCAAAAATGTTGTTTTCTTTTTTGTTCTACAAATCAGAAAACAGAAGGGCAGAAGAGGTCCTGGGGGAAGGGGAGAGGGTTTCTACCAATGGGAAGGGGGAGATGGCAGGGAAAGGAGACAGGAGGGTAAATATGGTGCAAAAATTGTGTACACGTATATAAATGCAAAAGTGATACCTGTTGAAACCATTCCAGGAATGGGGGGGAGGGAGGGATAAAGGAGAGTGGTTGGGGGGGGTGAATTCAAGTATGAAGCATTTGATACATTGTAAGAAATTTTGTAAATGCCACAATGTACCCTCTACCCGGCACAATTTAAAAAATAATGAAGTTAGGTTATAGTAGATTTGAGTCACCAATATGTTTTTATCCATCTTTTTTCACAGCTAGAGATCTTAACAGTGTATATTTCTTAAGCAAAAACACAAAAATTTGCTTTCAATAAATTAAGCTACATTGGAAAGAAAAAAAAATGAATTGGTGGCCGGACTCAAGAATTTTCATGTAACACCTCCTGTTTTCTCCATGAAATGGTGGGGGAACCACTTGTTGAGAATGAAGGAAATTGGAGGGATGTGTTGGTATGTTTGAGACAAGTAGAGAATAGTGTGGAAAATATTGAATAGATAATGTGAGGAAGCAGGAGAAAAGACTAAGGAAACCTGTGAGGCTTGC